TAAATTTTTGTCGAAGGAACTGAATATCCACAGTCACACTACTTTGTGGAAATCTGTTTTGCACTGGAAGTGAAACTTTTTTCTGCGTTAAATCTTTAGGCACAAGCAGAAGTTTTTTTTGCTAGTAAGCGATGAATTTGAGCTAAATGTATGAAAAAAATAAATAAGATAGAGTCAGTTTCTTCTAATATTTCACTTCCTTTGGTAGAAGAACTTATTGCTGACTTTTCATTAGCAACAGATATATTATCCCTTGAAAAAGCCTTCGTCTAGTTGTGCAAAAACAGTGAGCTTTCGTCACTGAATATGAGAATTTGAAATTAATAAATGACAAAAATGATCCAAAAAGCAGCACACAACTTTGTTGCTGAATATTTTTAAACTATATGCCGCCATTTTAGTTTGCAGGAAAATTCCGTGATTAAACCTTAAACTTATATCATAAGTATAGTTAACGATGTGATTTCTGCCGCGAGACTATCAACTTTTTTATGCAATCAAAACTTTCCACAGCTTTCTTGACAGATATCTTTCAAACTTAACTTTTCTATAATTTTGAATCTGAAAATGCACTTTTTTTACTATTTTATGTGTTTACCAGTTTCACATTAGCAATGCAGCGCTGATTTTAATAAATTGAAAAGAAGAAAACGAATATTAGTTCAGTTGCAACGTCGTATCAACATCAAGACTGCACAAACTTGAAAATTTCACTAGAAATAATTAAAAAACTCTTTTACTTTGTATTAAAAGAAAGCTATACAAATGTTCATTGTTTATTTATTTATATATTGTACAAATATTTGTTCATTTTTTTATTTATCTATACACTTACATATTAATTCTGTTCCCGAGAATAAATAATTTTTTAGTTTAGTTTAGAGCACTTCCTTTTTCACTTCACGCCAACAGCGCCCTTACTTTTTTTTCAGCCGATCCAACACATGTGCCACCTCTCTCATGTATCAAAGATGTTGTTCTACTAATTGATAGTTCAAGTGCTTTAAAAGAAGAACAATTTAATCAAGTAATGATTTAAATACAGCGATTTGAGGAAAGCTTAATTACTGATATAGCAGAAAATTTCTGCTTATTATTTTTGAAAGCAAAATTTTTTGTTGATAAGAAAATTAGGGGACTTAAAGATTTAATCTCAAAATAAACCTTTCTAAATGTTTTGTATTACAATTACTGTAGATACTAGACAAAAATACCAGAGTATATTTGGTAAACAATGTTAGGTGAATAGCTGAGAATTCACAAACTGAATCAATTATCTAAAAAATTATTTAATAGACAAAATTTATTTTGTATATAATCGTAATGATAAGAATTAAAATTGTAAAATTCTGATAATTGTCTGTTTATTTAACAAGCATAAAATGTTAATTCAAACAGTTTGCAGATGAAAAACTTTATAATGCGAGATAAGGGTCTTCTGATGATGCTACCGGTGTCTCCGGACCAAATTGAATTAGGTGTCTACTCATATTTTTCATCAATTAACCAAATCATCGACTTTGATACTTTTGGCGTGGATGAATTGATCAGTGCTATTAATACCACCTTAACGCTAACTGGTGGTAAACCGAATCTTGCGCGGTAAGTTCAATACTCTCATTGTTTCTTTCATTAGGTAATTTGAATAATTTAGAGCGATAATTAAAATAAAAAATGGTAAATTGGAATCTTGAATATGATCTGCTGTTATACCGCGCTGCATTGCTTTGCCGTTTAGTAAGAAAATATTTCTTTAGTAACCAGACACTTATTCTTTATCTTTATAGGGCACTTCGCTTTGCCACTGAAATTCATCACAAACGAGGTCTAAACGTCAATACTTTTACGCTTGTATTAGCTGCGTCAAGGTTAATTTTATAGTTGCAAAAATTTTTTTTGGATTGTTTTGTAAATATATAAGGTAGCATTTTAACCTGACGGAACTGACTGTGCCGGATGTCGTACACAGCACCGTAAAGTAATTTTTTAACAAAAAAACTTTTTGACTTGCTTGAAAATATTTAATTGCTCGGGTTTTAGCGAAACAGCAGATTCTAAAATGGCCAAAGACGCCGCCTATAATCTTACATCCAATGGAAACGTTCTGGCCACACTTGGTTTTGGTACTGGTGATCTAAAGCCTTTGAATGAGGTAATTTATTTGTAACTGTTCAACAAGAGTTAATAGAAAGATTTGTGGTTGTATAAATGCTGTTACTTTAGCTCGCCTCTTCGCAGGATTTCGTTTTTACCTCAGAAACATTCGATGCTTCAAACGAAATAGCACTTAAGATAAGAGATGCTATTTGCTTACCGGCACCAACACATGCAACAACTCCTACAACACAGTAAAAATTAAATCTTTTTTAAGCATTTTAAAGCGGTAGTCACACTGTTCTATTGCATCTTTCACTTATACAATCAATATACTTCAAAAAAATTTAAACTTTATTCTGCGTAACGCTATCCTTTGCGGTATTTTTTGAATTTCTTAGTCGATAATAGCGTTTTAGTAGACACATTGTAGCACTATGAAAACGTTTTTTTGTCCCATGCAAAGAATACTTTCTTGCAGATCACCGACACAGTCTACTACGGTACATCCAGATCTTAAATGTAAAGCTGATATAGTTATAATGATTGATACGTCGAATGCATTGACTTCATTAGACGCTTATGGAAAGGTAACCAAAGGTTTTTAAGCAAAACGGTGTTTTTGTCAGCGGAAGCTTTGTAAACAAGAGTGTGAAAAATACTGTGCTTAATTAGGTATAAACTCTTAAATTTGCTCACAGTGATTGGAGCTGTAGAGCTGTTCAGAATTATCGTGACTTTTAGGAAATTGATTACATTCAATTAAAACTGTCACCATCTTGGAAAATCGGCGTTGAAACGACGGAAGCCAAGTTGCTTTTGTACGACATAAGTTCTACAGAAACTCATGGGTCTTTCGCAATTAGTGACAATAACGAATTTGACAAAATTGTGGCTTTAGTTCGCGAGCACTTTAAAGCTGCTGATCCGTCAATCACAAAGTTAGCCTTTTAGATACTATGTTGCGTTTTGCAGGGCAGACCAGCTTCTTTACGTAAACAAGAGTGTAAAAAATACTGTGCTTAATTAGGTGTAAACTCTTAAATTTCCAACAATAATTAAGTGTTTTAGCGGAATCTCTTTGGTTAATGGACTTTTCAATGATTCTCGCAAAGATGATGTTAAAAAAGTGCTACTGTTATTCACATATTCGAGGTATAAATCTTTGCTATTTGCTCTACACAGTGATATTTTATACAGTCTGCTTCTCCTGCGTGTGCTCAAAAAATGCTCAAAAATTGAATCATAGAATGTGTTTCCTAGATGGAGTAGACAACTCTACTATTTTAGACGACTTCTAACGAAACTTTTATTGGCAATCTACTGCGTTGCAAATTAAAAGTTGTGAAGCTCAAAACTTTTTGCTAATAAAAGATACGTTCTCTGAATTTAATGCTTTCAGCTTGCACACTGATATATATTCAGCATCTGAGGTAGCTAAGCAGCTTATCGGAAATTCTGTGAATATCGTTGTTGTCGGAGTAGGTGGGAAAGTAGACCGGTCGTATCTAGAAGCACTTTCTGGTACGGTATTGAATTATGCTTCACTGGACAATGTGGACGCAAATGCGGTGTGTTTTAAAATAGCTTATGCTTTTGCTAAGTATATAAAACTGGATATTGGTCCTTCTCAAATAACTTTTTTCTGCCGCTTTTAAAATTTGGTTTCAGATTAATTCCAAGTTGTGTTTGAATCCAATTCCACCAAAACCCCTACCACCCACTACGACTACAACGTCCACAACGTCAACAACGATAACTACAATTACTCTTCCGCCGCTAACAACAAGTTAGCTAATTCTTATTTGGCAACCGTTTTTTACTGCTTCTTTCTTATAAATATTTTATAAGAAATCAGGATCTAATTTTACCAAGAAAAATTTTAA